TCCATATCTCGGAGGGTGGATCTAAGTGGAAATGACACAAGCATGAATCTTATGCTACTTGCTAATGCCATTAATAATAAAATCCTTTGTTTCTAACCAGGATTTCTTGTCCTCTGACAGCAAGCATGAAGATATGGCAGGCTAAACTGCTTGCTTGCAGTTAGGGTAAAAATATCAGACTTGTCACAGTTGTTGACAATGAGCACCTGTTCCCATCTTTTCACTATATATTTTAGGATCTGTCTTAGCAAATTATGGCAGATAGTAGCAGTTTCCACTGTCCACTCACAGACTGGGTACTATCAAAGCGTGACAACTCATAGAAAGAGTGTTCACTCTGGTCCTATACTAACATAAACTGTGTGAATATTATTATTACAGTTTCTAAAGAACAGAATGTAAATAGTAAAGTAGCAAAGACATGGAGCAATATAACCAGATTACTTACTTTCTCTTGCCCTTCACTTTCATTTAGGTGAAGTAAAAATACATTATAGGATTGAATTATAGAAACGTTTATTTATATACTTTATTAAAATGTTTATAAATGAGCATATTTTAAATATAGAAGTACATATTATACACAGGTTTTTCATATGAATATTTCCTTTACTAGAAAATGTATATTTTGGTTAAAAATAAGTTAATATAAAGAAAGCCTAAAAGCTACCTTTAAAGAAACACTAGATTGCTGATCCAGATGAAGTGATTTGTCTGGCCAAATATCTTAGCAAATCTTTTTACATTTATTCTCTAATTTCCATCCTTTTCTTCCATCCTTCTATTCATGTGTCTTCAACTCTAAGCAAATTAATAAATTTGGTCTACTCTTCACTTTTATTGACCATAGCTCGTACCTATTCTAAAGGGTGGGCAATAAGCAGCATCTAAGTTTCAGGAATTTCTTCCTACTGGAATTCTGATTACTTCCCTATTTCTCAACATGATCAATCCACCATCACCCACAATCATACTGAACTCTTCCCTTCTGTATTAGTTTCCTAGAGTTGTCACTGGGTACTTTATTTCTTATCTCACAGTTATGAATCCTAAAAGTCAAAAATCAAGGTGTCACCAGGGCCCACCTCCCTCTGAAGCTTTTATGAGAATTCTTCCCTATCTCTTTCTAGATTCTAGTGGTTTCCTTTCCTTGGCTTGTAGCGGCCCCATTTCAATTCTTTTCTTTTTCATATGGTTTTACCCTCTGTCTTCATGTGATCTTATAGGGACAGCTGTCATATCTTATCTGATTACATTTGCAATAATCCTATTTCCAAACAATATCACATTCTAAGGTATTGAGGGTTAGAGCTTGAACATCTTTTTTGTTGTTGTCACATTTAAAACATTTTTTGTCTTTTTTTTTTTAAGTTCAGGTGTATACGTGCAAGATGTGCAGGTTTGTTACACAGCTAAATGTGTGCCATGGTGGTTTGCTGCACAGATCATTATATTACCTACATATTAAGCCCAGCATCCATTAGTTGTTCTTCCTGAAGCTCTCTCTCTCCCATCTGTACCCTCTGCCAGGCCCCAGTGTGTGTTGTTCCCCTCCATGTATCCATGTGTTCTCATCATTTAGCTCTCACTTGTAAAAGTGAGAACATGCAGTTTTCAATTTCGGTTCCTGCATTAGTTTGCTGAGGATAATGGCCTCCAGGTCCATCCATCTTCCCGTAAAGGAAATATCTTTCAAATCAATGTCTTCTCTCCCTCATCAGGCACTCCGCCCACTCAACTCTTCCCTCCTCCTACATGCATCTGTCCCATTCCCATCATTTCTACCTTTAACCCTCAACAACTCTACTAAAATAGTCTCTTAAACTATTTGTTCTCCTTAACTCTGGTTTCAACTGCCCATTTAAAAATCATTCATGCTAACTCCCAGATGATCTTATTAAGATGCAAATCTAATCATGTTATACCACCATCACTACCACCACCATCCCTTGCCAACCCCCCAAGGGCAAACACACCTTAAAACTCTACAGTGGTTTATAGGAGAAACTGATAGAAAGCATCAAGCCTCACTCTCTCATATGCTCTGTATCCTCCAGCTAAACCAAGCTGCTTATTGTTTCACATATCTTTGCTTACACATATGTTAATCTATCCAAAATTCCTTTTTCTTCCTAAAAACCCAATATATCTTATCCTTTAAATTCCGTTTAGCCAACAAATGTTACATACTCTTGGTTCCATTGCCTTAAACATTTCTCTATTATGGTACTTATCACATAGCGCTCCAATTCTAATACATGTGTTTTTTTTTTCTCTTTATTACACCTGAGGGTCTCAAAGTCAAATGTCCTATCTCTTGTACCACTAACACCTAATATTTTGCCTGGTCCATAGAAAACAGTTATTGAATTAGATTTGTTTTATGGTTTTCTAAAAGTAATACTTATTCTAAAACTTTTGCTTGAAGGAACAGATTCTAAAATATGCTATCAGAAAGGGTAGACAAAAAGCAGTTAAAAAAATAAAAAAACAGTCACTGCTGGCTAAAAAATTATCAGAATAGCTTTAATTATTTTAAAAAAAGCATTACTCACTATGCACCTATTAAAATGGATCAATTAAAAAAGGAAGAGAAAGCTGACAATACCAAGTGCTAGTGAACATGAGGAGCAACTGGAACTCACACATAGCTGATGAGAATGAGAAATGGTAAAGAGATAAAAAAAAAAAACAAAAGAAAAAAAAAAGAGAATGAGAAATGGTATAGCCACTCTGGAAAAGTCTCACAGCTTCTTATAAAGCAAAACATACACTTACCATATGACACAGCTATTTCACTCCTATTTAATCCAGATAAATGAAAATTTATGCTCCCCAAAAACCCTGTATAGGAAGGTTTACAGTAGCTTTATTCATAATCAGTGAAAACTAAAAACTCAAATGACCCTCAATGAATAAAAGGACAACAAACTCTGGCATATATAAACAACGAAATAATTGTCAGCAATGAAAAGACACAGCAACTTGTAAAGGTTCCAGTGCATTATGCAAAAGAAGCCAGTCTCAAAAGGTTACACACTGTATAGACTCATTTGTTGGACATTCTGGGAAAAAACCAAAACTATAGGGAAAGAAGACAAGCCTGTAATTGCTGGGTCAAAGTTAAGGGTCAGGGAAGGATTTGACTACAAAGGAACAACACCAAGCAAGTCTTTTGGGGTGATGGAACTGTTCTGTATTCTGATTTTGCTGGTAGTTATGTGAATCTATAAATGTACAAAATTCATAAGACCGTACATCAAAAAATTTAATCTTACTGAATATAAATGTAAAAATAAATGCATTACTTCCTAGGCATGAGAATAAACTGTGTTTCTTCTCCACCCCCCGCATATTTTACCCCTAAGCTTGAAAAAGACTATCTTATGTAGGATTTTATCCTGTGAGGGGAAAGGTGGAACACACTAAAATAATGGCTTAGGGGTGGAATTAAAGGAGTTTGCTAACACATTATGGGCATTTACCTTGAAAGACTGGATTATGAGATAATGATCCATAATATTAGAAAAAGGCAAAGGCAAAGAGTAACAAAAGAGTAAAGCAAACAGATCTTTTTTTTTTTTTTTTGAGACGGAGTTTCGCTCGTTACCCAGGCTGGAGTGCAATGGCGCCATCTCGGCTCACCGCAACCTCCGCCTCCTGGGTTCAAGCAATTCTCCTGCCTCAGCCTCCTGAGTAGCTGGGATTACAGGCACATGCCACCATGCCCAGCTAATTTTTTGTATTTTTAGTAGAGACGGGGTTTCACCATGTTGACCAGGATGGTCTCGATCTCTTGACCTCGTGATCCACCCGCCTCGGCCTCCCACAGTGCTGGGATTATAAGCGTGAGCCACCACACCTGGCCACAAATAGATCTTAAAATTAAGAAATGAATTGTCTCCCTAGTATTCACCTTCCTTCCATAGTCCCATGACATAATAATTATATCTTTATTTGATTTGCTTTTTTGTATGTTTCTGCTACACACAAAATGGTTTAAGAAAAAGTAATTTAATTTTAAGAAGATATAAGCCTATTTTTATTTCGGTATCTCAATTCTAAAATAAAAGACATTAATCATTTGGCTGTGGTTTTTGCATCAAAAGCTTTAATTGATAAAAAATTTCTTAAAAGTTGGGTGGCATCTAACATTGAGGTTAAATCTAAAAAGAAGTTAATGTATTTGAGGAAATGATATTCAGCATATTTGATACATTGCACCTGTCTCTGCTTGTCTGTTTTTTTTCCCCACTGACTACTCCTCTTCTACCTTTTATTGATTCCTATCTTTTCCTTCCTGCCAGCCCAAACAATCTGCCATGCCCTTTTCTTCCTCAGTGTCTTCTTGAAATTTGTCACAAGCCTAAATTACCTAACTGCCTTTAGAAATGACCACACAAAATAGTATTTATTTCAGAGACTGTGAATTAAAACATAGCTAATAGTCAAGTATAAATATTGTGATAATTTTTCTAAAACATGACAATAGGGAATATAAGTAATCTAACAAGACATTTAATATATGTTGAATTGAATGTAAAACAAACAAAAAATTTACATTTACTTTTCCAAAATAATACATGTATCATTTAAATTATAACTTTTTCAATATACTTGGCTACTAATATTTACTTAGAATGCTGAAAGTTTAATAAAATCAACAAATATTAATATTAAATATTATAGAATAAAATATGGCCCTAAGTGGTTTGTGAATAATGTTGGGGGGTCAAACTACCGTGAATACTCTAACTTACTGAAAACGGTTCAAATGTATACCTTGAATTTCAGACACTTAGTTGCCCAAGAAAAGAATAACTTATCTACGTTAGGCCTTTAGGCTGAGATTACTCACTTAGCAGAGTGATTCCAAAATTACTCTGATGAACTTCAGAACCTTCCAGTGTTGGAATGTGGGGTACTAATTAATAAATTGTTGAGTCATAGGGCATTATTACTTCAGAATAGAATGTAAAAGAAAAGCTCATAAAAGTTTCCAGACCTAAAGGTAAAGTTATTTATTAACCTAAGGTATTTACAATAATATTTTAAACTATAACTTGTAAGTATAAATAAACTTAGGTCTTAATCATGAATTTTTACAACAAAAAAGTGGTATATTATACTTTTTCCTAACATAAAAACCATTCCAAGTAGTTCTCATTTAAGTTATAATAAATATTTTTCATACATAGAATATAGATGACAATTGTGATATTAATGTAATTTTCAATTAAAATATGAAATTTAGCAAATATTATTTCCTTATCTCTGAGAAGAAAAATAAATTCTAGGTTCCTTGAATTAAGATATATTATTACATTAGTACAAGATGTAAATTGTTACTATTCTTCAGTCTTTCCTGGAACTTGTTCAGTCCTGGGAAAATCTTCTTTGTACTTCTTCTTGAGATTACTTAAATATGTTCGTAAACTGTCTGGATCCAATTGAGAGTTTCGAGCAGTTTGAACAAGCCTAGTGGCTAGATGATACACAGCTCTCTGTCTTTCCATCTCAGGGGTACTCCTTTGGTTTTGCTGTCATTGAAAAATATACATATATATATATATATATATATATATATGAATACTATAGTTTTTATTTAAACGACATGTTGGCAATATTCTATCTCCTTCCATAGACATATGGAACTCAAGGGTTAACTAATTCCTTTGAAAATCAGTTTCATCCAACAAGGAAAGAATATATAAGAAGAAAAAAAAGAAATACTGTATTTGGAAGAATATAATTTCTTCTGAGTATTTGCTACTTGATCAGATCTTATATTTTTGAAAATCACTTTTCAATAATAAAAGTTCTGCTAAATAGGTCAGATTTCTTAGCATAATACCAAAAAGTAACAGAAAATCCACCAGAGATAGACTCTACAAACACTTTCTCATTAAAAAGGTATGGGAAAACAGCATTGTTCATTGCTATATGGTAATCATACTTTTAAATGATGCTCAAGAGTACTATTCTGCTATTTCCTACTTTAATTCCCCAAAGATAAACTGATACACAGAATGGATCATCAGAAAATTGGTTGCTCCTATGGAGAGTACATATATAGAAACTGCTGGAACCTAACAGAAAATACTGCCTCAGGGGTAAATTACATTTTAAATATACATAATATAAATAGCTATTTAAAATTATGCCTTAATTCTTAATAAACTAAACTTCAGGATACCCAAGAAATAATATTTAAAATGGGAATGTAGAAGGCCTTTAGATATTTCGTTCTTGAATAGAATTTCAGGACTGCAAATATACCTAGAAAATTCTTATTTCTCCTCTTTGCCTGAACTAGATAGAGGAATCAACATTTTTAATCTTTACTTTTTATGTAAACTCTTAGCAAGTTTCCCAGAAATATAATCCCTTCAACTCATAATAGCAAGCAACTCCAGATTCATTTTTTGCTTTTAAGAATAGGAAAAATGAGTAAGATTTTATGAGGTAGAATAAGATTATCAGATATTCACCCATCTATCTATTTGGTACACTGATCAATTGCCAATTAGTCTATTATTAAAATTAAAAAGTTATTGAATACCTATTGTCATCTATGTTCCAGGCCTCAAAGCTTGTGTTTATGTATCTATGGGGACTACAAAAATGAATGTATACCTCACATGATTACAGAACTCAAGGAGCTTACAGTCTAAATGGTTAAAAAAAAAAAAAGGCTTGTTTATAGGCAACTGATTATGGTAATTATGAAAAGTCCCATAAAACAGCCACAAAATTCTCAGAGGAAGGGTAATTCACTTCCAGTTCAGCCCCAAAAAAGCTTAAATAGGAAAGAGTTTTGGAATGAATCCTGATAGATAAAGAGACTAAAAGAGAGGGTATTCCACAAAGGAAACAGCTAGAGCAGGTACATTAGAAAGCATGATACACAATCAGGTCGATATGATAAAATGGAAAGTAATTAAATTTAGTAATGACAATCAATTCAATTTTCAAGATTAAAATTACAGAAATGTAGATTATGTGAAATTGAGTGATAGTTCATGTAGAAAACAAAGGAAAATCATAAAGCAGATGCCAACAAGTTTTACAATCACATAAAGACTGATTAAGAAAGCAAATCCCTGAGCCACAAGAGATCCTTGACAATCTAGTCTGGTACCTAGTATCTCAAGCAATCCTAATGTAGGTAATTCTAAAATATATTTTGAGAATTACAGAGGACTTTTTACACTAGACAAAGGAGTTCAATTTTTACTTCATAAAAAATCACTAAAAGTCTCTGAGTAGGCAAACTACATAATAAAAACTATGCACTAGAAGACAATCTGGTAGAAGTGTGTAGGATAGATTGAAAAAGAGAGAGAACTTACTGCATAGTCCTAATGACAGGTGATTAAGAGGAAGGATCTGGCCGGGCGCGGTGGCTCACGCTTGTAATCCCAGCACTTTGGGAGGCCGAGGCGGGTGGATCACGAGGTCAAGAGATCGAGACCATCCTGGTCAACATGGTGAAACCCCGTCTCTACTAAAAATACAAAAAATTAGCTGGGCATGGTGGCATGTGCCTGTAATCCCAGCTACTCAGGAGGCTGAGGCAGGAGAATTGCTTGAACCCAGGAGGTGGAGGTTGCGGTGAGCCGAGATGGCGCCATTGCACTCCGGCCTGGGTAACAAGAGCGAAACTCTGTCTCAAAAAAAAAAAAAAAAAAAAAGAAGAGGAAGGATCTATATAGGACTTTAGCGGGTCTCTGGGAGACTTACAGGTGAAGAGACAAGGTGATTTTTTAGAAGATTATATATTTAACTTTGGCCTTTAAACATAGATTAACATATGAAGGGGAAATATGGAGAAATATATATAGATTCAGAGTTGAACAAAAATGATGGAAGCTGCAAGAAAAGATGAGATCACCAAGCGCAGATTTTAAAAAGAAAAGAAACAAGGGCAAAAATCTTAGAAACTTTTATATTCAGTAAGTGGAATAAGAAAAAGTACTGATGATGGCTTGGTGCAATGGTTCATGCCTGTAATCCCAGCACTTTGGGTGGGTGGAATGCTTGAGCCCAGGAGTTTGTTCAAAACCAGGCTGGGCAACACACCAAGACAAAAGGAAAGGAAAGGAAATGAAGGGAAAGGGGAAAGGAAAAAAAAGGAAAGGAAGAAAAAGGAAAGAAAGAAAAGAAAAAAAGGAAAGAAAAAAGGAAAGGAAAAAGGAAAGAAGAAAAAGGAAAGAGGAAAAAGGAAAAAGGAAAGGAACTGGTGAAGAAGGGAAAGAAGAAGTAATCAAAGAGGTAGGAGAATGAAAACTTCCAGGAGAGAATAATTCCACATAGCCAAAAGAGGGCAGAATTAGGAGAAAACAAGGGTAGTATCAAGTGCCACAGAGAGATCATGGAAGATCAGAAGTGAAAAGAAAGACGAAGGATTTTATAATTAGTATTTAAGAGAAAAGTTTCAGTAGAGTAATTACAATAAGACTCAGTTTAAACATGAGAAATGAAAAAAGCAATCATAGGTTACTTTTGATAAGTTTGTAGTAAAAAGAAAAGGAAATAATAGTTTGAAAAGTGGAGTCAACAGGAAGAATTTTAGGGGAGAAATCTAAGTATACTCACAGAAAAAGGAAAAGCCTCTGAAGAAAATATTAAAGATGCAAGAGAATAAAGGAAACTGAGAAGTAATACCTCAGTGGAGATTTAAAATAATGGCAGAAAAGTTAACCTTAAAATGTCTGAAAGACAATCTCTTCCTTTAAGACAAGAGGGAGGAGAGACGGTAGAAAAACAGAAATATTCAAAACAAGATTTTGAAGGAGGGAAGGTTCAAGAACTCATCAAGATGACCTCAAATTTGTTAAAAGTAGGAGGCTGATCATCTGTAGACAGTGAGGTAATAAGAGCTCAGGAAGAGTGAAAATGTTTTAAAAGAGTTATTGTGAAAGAAGCTAAATAGGCCGGGCGCGGTGGCTCAAGCCTGTAATCCCAGCACTTTGGCAGGCTGAGGCAGGAGGATCATGAGGTCAAGAGATCGAGACCATCCTGGTCAACACGGTGAAACCCCGTCTCTACTAAAACTACAAAAAATTAGCTGGGCATGGTGACGCG